AAAAAAAAAAAAAAAAAAAAAAAAAAAAAAAAAACAAAAGAAAAAATCAAAGAGAGTGATATGACTAAGATTGGACGACCAGCTGAATCCACTGAATTTGTTTGGTCTGAAGGAATATGATCAAACAGTGTACAGGTCAACGCTTGATCTCAAACAAAGCCTCTGTTTTACGGACTATTTTCTCCATAGTTTAAACGAATTTGTAGCCAACAACAGCCATGAAACCCGAGAAGCTTTTGAGCTTTTCAACTCATCTTCTTCTTCTTCTTTCATTTTCATATTTCTGTACAAGATTCAGCTCGGGGAGCAGAGATACAATCACATCAACAACCTCCATTAAAGACCCTGCAACCATAGTTTCAAATGCCAGTTCCTTCCAGCTAGGGTTCTTCTCACCGGCTAATTCCACGAATCGCCATGTCGGAATCTGGTTCAACAACCAAATTTCTCCACAAACTGTAGTGTGGGTAGCCAACAGAGATAACCCTCTCAAAGATTCTTCCGGGATCTTCACAATTTCCGAGGATGGGAATCTTGTCGTGTTGGATGGAAACCGCAACCTCCTCTGGTCTACCAATGTTTCTTCCTCCGCAACCAACGTCAGCGCCCGAATTTTAGATTCCGGCAACCTTGTTTTGGAAGATTCCGCTTCCAAGATGGTTATCTGGCAGAGTTTCAAAAACCCATGTGATGTATTCTTAGCTTCCATGAAATTTATGACGAACACAAGAACTAACGAAAAAATACAACTTACCTCATGGAACAACCCTTCCGATCCATCCATGGGAAGCTTCTCCTTGGGGCTCCATGTTCTTCACAATATTCCTGAAGGTGTAGTTTGGAATGGGCAGAAGACGTATTGGCGATCTGGTCCATGGAATGGTCAAATCTTCATTGGCATACCCAACATGGATTCAACTTATCTCTCTGGATATACCCTTGACATAGATGATCAAACTTACTATCTTTCCGCCACTTTTAATGAGGATGAAAATTTCGGCTACTTGTCTTTAAGCCCACAAGGGAATGTTCAAGAAACGTATATGGATTTTCAGGAGAAGCGCTGGAGGGCTGGTTGGTCCGCTCTACAAACGCCGTGTGATTTCTATGGCGCTTGTGGGGCGTTTGGGATCTGCAATCCAAGTGCTTCCCCTGTTTGCAGGTGTTTAACAGGGTTTAACCCAAAGCATGAAGAGGAGTGGAATCGAGGAAATTGGAGTAATGGGTGTGTGAGAAACACGCCATTAAAATGCGACATGTCCAACAAAACCAGTATTGAGGAAGATGGATTTCACGTGGAGAGCTTGGTTAAAGTTCCATTTTTGGCAGAGTGGGTTGATTCCTTTTCTTCAATACAGGATTGCAGAGTCAAATGCTTGGAGAATTGTTCGTGTAGTGCTTATGCTTATGTAAATGGTATTCGTTGTATGCTCTGGAAAGGGGATTTGATTGATATACAAAAGTTTGAGAGCGGTGGAACGGATCTGTACCTTCGACTGCCATATGGAGACTTGGATCATACAAGTATTGATATCATCTCCTTAAACTTCCATCATTCAGATTATTAGATTCTGTTTCCAACTAAATTTTGTTTTTGATCCACAGAAGATGTCAAAGGCCAAAGAGGTATCATTATAGGCATAGTGATATCAGTAACGTTTATCATCTTCATCATTGTAACATATATATGGTGCAGATGGAAGAGTCGCAAACGAGGTAACGCATAGCCTAATCTTCCTTACAGTTATGTAATCCTTGATGGCTTAATAAGATTTGAGGCATATGGCAGAGAAGAACAGATCAAGTACGGGTTCAAAGGAAAAGATTTGGAAGTTGAGAAGGGACGATACGATTGAGGATGACGTTAAATTGGAGGAGCTGCCTGTTTATGACTTTGAGACGTTGGTATCTGCAACAAATAACTTCGCCCCAAGCAACAAGTTAGGACAGGGAGGCTTTGGTCCAGTGTATAAAGTAGGTATTGATTGTACACATATCTGATAACCCCACTACTACGCCCATATTATTCTGGTGGGAATCTCACAATCCATCCTCCTGGGTGCCCAACGTGTTTACTGGCACATCGCCTAGTGTTTGACTCTGATGCCATTTGTAACCGCCCAATATGATCCATCATTTCTTATAAGAGTGTCTAGTAAACACGTTTTAAAACTTTGAAGCTTGAACTATTACGTAACCTTTTCAGGGACAACTGCTAAATGGAGAGGAAATAGCAGTAAAGAGGCTTTCAAGAGTGTCTAATCAAGGGTATGAAGAGTTCTTAAATGAAGTGAGAGTCATCTCAAAGCTACAACATAGGAATCTTGTGCAGCTTCTTGGTTGTTGCATCGAAGGAGAAGAGAAGATATTAATATATGAATATATGCCCAACCTAAGTTTGGATGCACTCATCTTTGGTTAGTGGGACTTATGATTCTAGAGAATATTGACTTTTTAAATGTTTAAAAAATATGTTTTTTTTTTCTAACTGTAATTAAATCTATGCACATGTAGGCTCGGCCGAGCAAAAACTAATATTGGATTGGCGGAAGAGATACAACATTATCGATGGAATTGCTCGAGGCCTCCTTTACCTTCATCGAGATTCAAGATTGAGAATCATTCATAGAGATTTAAAGGCAAGTAATATTCTATTAGATAAAGATTTGAATCCTAAAATATCTGATTTTGGCATGGCGAGGATTTTTGGTGGTAATGAAGTTCAAGCAAACACTTTAAGAGTCGTTGGAACTTAGTAAGATCTCTCGTTGTTTTATTTTTATTATTATTATTCATTATAATTGATATATAGATACATAAAACTGATTTAATGTGTTTTTTTATTAATTTAGCGGGTACATGTCTCCTGAATATGCAATGGGAGGTCAATTTTCAGAGAAATCAGATGTGTTCAGTTTTGGAGTTCTATTACTTGAAATCATAAGTGGGAGACGAAATACAGGATTCTACCTCGAAAATCATACCTTAAATTTATTGGAATTTGTATGTTGACAGAAAGAAAAATATACTTTCGAAATTCAAGGTTGAAATTAAAGATTTCAATTAAGAATTTTAATTTTGTTTCAGGTCTGGAAGCTACGGAGGGAAAACAATCTTATTTCTTTGATTGAGCCAACAATCTACAAAGTCTGCTATCAATCAGAGATTTTGAAATGCATTCATGTAGGGTTGCTATGTGTTCAAGAATTCATAAACGATCGGCCAAATGTCTCTACCATTATCTCAATGATCAACAGTGACATTGTAGATCTTCCTTCTCCAAAGCAACCTGGCTTTGTTAGTCGACCACAAGACAATAACACGACATCTTCATCTCAACAAAATTTAGACCATTTTTCTATAAATAATCTTACTCATACCACAATCATACCC